GGAGGAGGAGCAGGAGGAGGAGGATGAGGAGGAGGAGGACGAGGAGGAGGAGGAGGAGGGGGGAGGGGGGGAGGAGGAGGGGAGGGGGAGGGGGGGGGAGGGGGAGGGGGAGGGGAGGAGGAGGAGGAGGAGGAGGGGAGGGGGGGGAGGAGGGTGGAGAGTGGAGGAGGAGGAGGAGGAGGAGGAGAAGGAGGAGGAGGAGGAGGAGGAGGAGGAGGAGGAGAAGGGGGAGGAGGAGGAGGAGGAGGAGGAGGAGGAGGAGGAGGAGGAGGAAGAGAAGGAGGAGGGAGGAGGAGGAGGAGAAGCGGGGTCGGCCGCACCAGCATTTGCGCGTGAGCTGCCCGCGACAGACCGCGCACAGGGCTAGCGCTCCCCCCCCCCTCTTCACGCGGCGTGTGCCGCGCTGGCGGCCCGTGGGGGGCCATCGCGTGAGGTCGCGGCGTCGTCGTGCGCCTTTCGGGGAACGACAAATTACATAAACATAATACCTCGGAGGTCCGCGCGGATTCCTCGGATCGGCGCTGGGGCCCCCGCCCCTGGCGCGTTCCGCGCTGCCTGGAGGGGGGGGTCCAGCGCCGATCCGAGAAATCCGCGCGGACCTCAGAGTTGTTAGGTTTATGTCACTGTTTGTTCCTTTGGTATTGAGGCCCCCTCCCAGACCCCCGACGTCCACGAACAAGCAAGGGTGGAGCGATCAAAGCGTGACTCTTTTCCCTCAAGGTTGGCAGCGGTTGAGCGCCAGCACCAAAGCTCACCAATGCTCATCGCGCCAGCGGTGCTCGCGCTGTGAATGCTCTGCTCACCTAGGGCTTTGCAGTGTCGTCCGCTTCTGCATGTCCGAGCTCCGTAGCTGCCTGCACGCCCCTATGTGCTCAGCCGCGTTCTTGCTCTTATGGGCACTGCGCAGGCCTGACGAAAGCTTGAGAGGTCCCTTCCAATGTGCGATGTGATCTGATGCGGGTGGAGTGATCAACGTGTGACTCTCTTCCCGTGAGGCCGGCAGGCGGTTGTGCGCTTGCCACCTGCCTTGCGATCTTTTCCGCCAGAGCCCAAGAGGCTCCAGATGAGCAGCAGGCCCCCAACGTCGTGATGTCTGCTTCGGACAATGATGGTGATGCTGATGATGCTGATGATGTTTTCTCCAGCGCTGCTGCAATATCTTATATGTCGTGGCATGGTGAAATGTGGGCTCGCCCCAGGCTCTCAGAACTGGGTGTGCGGCCTCGCATCATCACCATCATCACCATCATCATCATCATCATCACCATCGTCATCATCGTCATCATCATCGTCATCATCGTCATCATCGTCATCATTGTAGGGGTTTAAATCATGGGGGCACAGGCTCAGGTGGGATGCATCGACCCCCAGTCGCCCACTCTGGATTCGCGATCGGGGGCCCATTGCCGATCTATCGGCGTTGCATCGCCGATGCCTGCTCGAAGCTCCACCCCTTGAGCTGGTCCCCCCTACCGTTCCCCATGAGACCTTTTAACACCCGAAGTCTCGATCCCTTCCCTTGGATTGTCCCAAGGCCCGACAAGGGCCCTCGGAGGAGGAACATTGCCCAACATCTTCCGACATGATCCCATGGCCATTCTGGCTCCAGTCTCTTCGCATACGCTGAGAGGCAGGCGCTCTCGCATAGCCATCATCTCGTGTTGCACAGAGAACGGCTCTTCCAGTGAATGCGGCCCGCCATGGCCGCTAATGGGACTCGGCGAAGCGTCCTGCCGATGCATCTGGTTGACGGGCATTCGCAATGCCCGAGGTGTGGGGAGCATGATGTACATTATTCTTGTGGGCACACTTTCTGTGGAAACATGTATTGCGATGCAGTGCCAGCCTATTTCAAGGATATGAATGTCCGTGGCAACGGTTGGTGTTCGACATCTCAGGCGCCGTTCGAACTACGCGGGCCATATGTGAAATGCCCGGACTGTAGACCAGAATGCATGACGTCAAAGTTTGGCTCATTTGCTGGCCAGAACAAACGCTGCACACCGTGCAAGTACCCCGTGCGCAGGAACGGCAAGTGCTCCAAAGGTGCAGGGTGTGACTTCTGCCACGCATGCCCTCTTCGTTTTCCTGGGAGCAACGCAGAGCAGCTGAATGCAAAAGAGGGCCTCTGCTCAGAAACACACGTCCTGACACCACGCACGCCAAGCCCAGTGCTCAAGACGATTCGTCGCGACGACGGAGCTAGCGACGACGGAGATAGCACCCGCAGTCCAGCGTCGGAACCATGCAGCTCGATCTAGACCATCCATTGGCTTTGAACAGCTGGCATGAGTTGTACCAATTACATGGATGTGTTGAGTACATGGCTTGCGCGCGCACGAGGGGCATGATGTTGCCAAGCCTACGAGAATGTATTCCGACTCCGATGTATTGCCCCGCGCGCGCCGGGGTCTCGTTCCCCTGTCATGCGGCCATGTTTTGCGGAGCGCTTGCGCGATAACCAATCCTTGCCAGTGCCCGCGCAATGTTTTATTCGATGTATCTTGATGGCGAGCCCTGGATAGATTCCGCGCTCGGCAAGAACATCTCGCCGCTGGCCTTTCTCCAGGGAGGGAAGCAGGGAACCATCGATGGGGTGGGGTGGAACGCTTATTGCAAAGCCCATGGTACTCACTGGAAGCTTTGTCGGCGCGCACGGCGAAAAGGCCAAATGGCCGCCTCGCTCCCTTTGCTGACTTCTGCGGCTGTTCTTCGCGACCTAGGGTTCCGCTCGTGATCTCTCGCGGCGTTCGTTAGACGTCGGGGGGCCCAGGAGGTGGTTGAAAAAGGCCAGCACATGTCTTGGCATCGCTCGGACGTGTGCATTTTTCCTTCGGCGAGGACCATCGAGGAGCATCATTGATCATTTGGCGAGAAAACCACGCACGAAACCAAAACAAAAACACAGGGAACGAACGTCCGAGCGATAGCCAGATGTGGCCAGTGCGGCGGGAGGCCACCTGTAGGAGAGGCCGCGTTCCTGGCGTGTCTGCCGTCTGGCGTTGACCGCGCGGCCCTGCCCGCCGTCGAGGCGCGGACCGCCAGAGGCGGCCTGCCGGTGAGGATCGCCAGCAATTTGTCCCAGCCTTCCCGTGTTGGGTTTTCGCCTTGAATCGATCACTGTCCTCTCCAACCTGTATGTATGTATGTATGTGTATATCTATATATGTATGTATGTTTACATACAAATATTTATACATATATATATATATATATATTTGTCTTTGACTGTTTTGTTCTGTGGCGGCGAGGCGGTCTCAGGCCAAAGGTCCGAGGGGGATTTTTGGGCGTCTCCGTAGTCGCTCTTGGTCCAAGCTCGCATGCACTGGCTTGCAGAGCAGCTCGGCGGGGCGGGCTCCGCCTTCGTCGGCGCGTACCTCGGCGCCTCCACCGCGAGCACCCATTGCTCGTGCCATTTCGAGTCCAGCCCCGTGGACGAGGGGCTCCTGACAATCCTACGGGCGCAGCTGGACCGCTGCGGGCCCGAGCGGCTGCACGCCGCGGCGGCGCCTGTGTGCGCCCAGCCGGTGGGCGGCCTCTTGGTGGCGGCTGGCCTCGGGCTGCTGCTGGGCGTGAGCCTCACCCTGGGAGCGCAGGCCGCGCTCCGCCCGCGGGCCCCGGCTGCGGCCCAGCCTGCGGCCGCCGGCCGTGCCCCGGCGACTCCGCCGGCCCAGCAGGAGGGGGCTGCCTTGACGCCGCCCACGCTGCGGCGACTGCGAGATGGCGACAACACTGGACTCTGATATCATCCAGATCCTGGTGGACTACGTCGACGATCCCAATATATTATGGCATCACAGACTGTTGCTCTTCGAACTGGGGCCGGGGCGGTGGGTATGCGCCACCCCAGATTTTTCAGTGCAAGTCATCGACTTGTCTCAGCACCGCGTGCTGCCCCTGGCTCGGGCGGCGCCGTGGCCTGCACAGGTGCGCGGCAATGTGTACGGCTTCGACCCGCTCACGGCCGACCAGCGGGACGACCTCTTCCTGCGGGGCGGCCAGCTCGCCCGCGTGCTGGGCCACCAGCCTGGCAACACGGCGGCCGCCGCCGACCGCCAGTGGCGGGTCTCCGACACGGGCCACGAGAAGTTCAACGAGGTGGTCGCGGACGGGAACATGCTGGGCGATCGCGCGGTCGTGAAGGGCGACACCGGGCTGTACTGTATCGACGAGGGCGCCAGCGAGTGGGTGTCCGTTCAGCGCGTGCGGGTCCGGGACCACGACGCCTGGCTGGAGAAGAAGCGCAGCGGCCCGGGTCGGGACTTGCGCATTCTTCCTGTGCATCGCGACGCGGGCGGCAAGAGAGTGATGCTGCTCCGCGAGTCCATCAACCTCTTCCGCGAGCCGAAGTTCCCCGACTGGCCGTTCGAGGGGCCCTCGGCCGCCAAGGAGGTCTTGGGCGACGTGGCCGCGGCGGGACTGGAGCTCCATCTGTACCCGACGTGGTGGGAGAGCAAGAGCGGGGTGAACCCGACGGGCAGCGTGGCGCGGGAGGTGCGGCTGGCCTTCGACTACCTGAGGATGCTCCAGGCGTACGACCAGACGAATATGGTGTCCTTGGCGGCGGTGGAGCTGATCTGCCGCCGCATCGTCGTCTGCCAGAAGGCCGTGCGGCGGAACCCGAAGGCGCCGGACTTCACCGGCCTCGAGCGCTTCGTGCTCTCCAACTTCGACGAGTCGGGAGGACTCAAGACGACGGAGTTCGACAAGTACATGGCGGAGCAGCAGAAGGCCAGCGCCGTGGTGCTCAAGAGTATGCGCCAGGACGTCGAGGAGCAGGAGAACGAGAAGAAGAGGCAGGCCGGTCGCCAGCAAGGCGGCGGCAAGACGGGCAACGGCTAGAGAGACGCGGGGGCGGCGACGGGCCCGAGCCGGTATCGCGGGGCTTGGGCGGTTCGGCGGCGCCCCCTTCTTCGAGGCCGTGTACGGCCTCCACTGACCGCGAGGTTTTGTCATCGCCCTGCGATACGTTCCCCTTGCCGACGGGCTCCGCGTTGGACATGCTCGGCGGGGGTGATCGGGCGGCTTCGCGCCGCCTCCCGACTCGAGCGGGCGACGAGCCCTCAGCAGCAGCCCTCGTGTCAGACGCGGTGGCGGCGCTGAATGGCCTGGCGTCAGCGCGGATCGGCCGACCACTGCAAGTGCGGCGGTCGCGGCCAGCAGAGCGAGAGGTCACGTCGGCTCAGCAGTCGATTCTGGGCCGTGTCGCGGAGCGGGTAGACGACCAGTTTCCTGCCCCTCCAGATGCTAGTTTTTCTTCGGCGCTTCCGGACCTCCTGAAGTGCGCGGACATGTATTTGACGAGCGGGTCCTCCAGCCGGGTCCCCATCCAGCTGGAGCGGCTCAAGATTTTGCAGAACAGTACGATGCCCAAGGAAGCCCTGGATGTGGTCGGCGCGGACGCCCGCAAGCTGCTGGCGGACCCCTGGCGCTACATCGAGCGGCGGGCCAACGACGTGGAGGCGGACGGTCCACCTCCTCGGCCATACACCGACCCCAGACTTCGGTTCAGCCGCAAGCTGATGAACGAGCTTGTGCTCACCCTCCACCGGGGCAACCTCGTGGTCTTCCGGCCCTCGGTGAAGGCATTCATCGGCCTCTTCACGGTTGTCAAGAAGGACGGCTGGTGGCAGCGGCTTATCGTCGACGCCCGCGTGCCGAACCAGTGGCACCGGCGGCCGCCGCACTCGTACCTGGCGACGCCGGGAGCGGCTTCCGCTCTCGACCTGAGCGATGCCGCGCTGGAGCCTGGGGCCGCTGGCTCGCTTGAGCTGCGCGGCGCCGCTGTCGACCTGCAGGACGGGTTCTACCAGCTGAGCTTCAAGGTGATGAGCGACTGGTTCGGCATCGATTGCCGGATGACCGCTGCCGAGGCGGGGATCACGCGGGTCTTCGACGTCTTGGACGGTGTCGGCACCTGGCTGCCCGTCGCGGCCAAGGACCCCGTGTGGCCGTGTTTTTGTGGCGTGCCCATGGGGTGGACCTGGGCGCTCTTCATCTGCCACTCAGCCCTGACTGACGCCATGGTCGAGTCCCTCGTGCGCGTGATGCGCTGCGATCGCGGTCTGGCCGAGGCCCAGCTGCTCCGCGACGGGCAGCCCGCGCCCCGGCTGGCCAAGGGGCGCCCGGTCGCAGCGCCGTACGTGGACAATGGGAACTTGTTGTGCTTCGACCGCGAGGATGCTGCCGTGTTCTACGGCTCGATGGTGGCCGTCCTCAGCGAGCGGGGCTTCACGCTGCGGGACAACGTGGAGTGCGACGCGAACCTCGACATGGTGGGGTTCGAGCTGCAGGGCGCCAAGTTCGTCTGGAGGCAGCGGCGGTCTCGGTTCTGGCGTCTGTGGCACGCGCTGCGGCAGCTGGAGCTCCGAGGCGGCTGCACGGGGGAGGTGATGCGCATCATCCTCGGCCACCTGGTCAACTTCTTCATGCTCTCGCGGCCCGCCCTCAGCGTGTTGTCGCAGTTGTATGTCTTCAGCACTGAGAACCTCGGGCGCTACCGACGGTTTGACGGCCATGTTCGAGGGGAGCTGGTCACCTGCCGCGGCTTGTTAGCCCTCGTTCGCAGTCGGCTGCGGCCGCGCCATTACCCAGTCGCTTTTTGCTCGGATGCCTCGACGCGGGGCTACGCGATCCACAGTGGGCAGGTCGACCCCCACCTGCTGTACGACGTCTGCCGCTGGCGAGAGCGCTGGCGATTCGCCGTCGCGGAGGAAGACGAGGGGCCCGGCATCGACGGGGCTCAGACCGGCCTGGACGCCGACTTCCGCGAGCTGGGCGCCGACCTGGACATCGAGGACGGCGACTGGGATCGGAGGGGCGACCGCGCAGTTCCTGTGCGGCGCGCCCCGCGGGTCAGCAGCCTGGTGCCAGCCGAGGCCCTGCGGGCTGCCGAACTCGGCCTCCCGCACCCCATGGTCGCGGGGATCGTGCCCGCGCTGCCGGACACGCTGGTGGCGCCGACGCGCTGGCGGCGGCTTCTGGTTGGCGCTTGGCAGCGCCGCGAGGCGATCCACATGAAGGAGGCGAGGATCGCGCTGGTGGGGCTGTGCCACGCCGTCCGGGACCCTGCCAGCCACGGAGGCGTGGTCTTGTCGCTGGGCGATAACCTCTCGGAAGTACTCGCCACCGAGCGGGGCCGGGCGCATGGCCCCGCCCTCAACTCAGTGTGCCGCCGGGCAGCGGCGGTCGAGCTCGGAGCCGAGGCGCGGTGGGTTCGCCGCTACGTGGAGACGGACCGCAACCCCACGGACTCGGACTCCCGGCTCGCGGAGCAGGGGATCCTGGCGCCGGGCGAGTCGCTGCGCGGGGGCCGCCTTGCCGCCCGGCTGGGGCGCCTGCGCGAGGGCGCGTGCTGCCCCGACCGCGTGCCCGATGGCGCCCCGCGCGCCGCCGCGAGCTCGGCGGCGGCGCCGGCGCCTCCCGCGGGCCCCCAGCGCCGGCCACTGTGGCCTGGCGCACGGGGGCCGTCGCGTCGGCGCGACCGCGCTGGGGTGCTGGAGATCTTCGGCGGGAGCTGCAGGTTCTCTGGCGCGTGCGCGGCGGCTGGCCTCCGCATCCTGCGCCCTGTCGATGTCTCGGCCGGGCCGCACTTCAACGTTCTTAGCATCGCTGTTCAGCAAAAGATACTGCATTGGATTTCTCACGGATATGTCTGTCATGTACACATCGCTACCCCGTGTACCCGCTGGAGTGTAGCCAACACGACTGGGGCCCCAGACTCGGAAGGTTCGAGAGCAGGCCTTGGGTGCGCTGACTTCACGGTGCGGGTCCTCAAGATGTGCCATCGGTGTGGGGTCTCCGTGTCGCTCGAGAACCCTAGGTCTTCGAGGCTCCTGAAGTACCCGCCCCTCGTTAACATCTTCGAGAAACTGGGCTGCGTGTCGTTCGAGTATCACTGTTGTCGCTATGGGGCTCCTTACCTTAAGCCGACCGTGTTCGTGACGAACGTCCCGTCCTTGAGTGTCATTGAGAGGGCCTGTGTGTGTACTGTACCCCATGAACGACTAGAAGGTAAGGTAAAGATCCCAGATGAGACAGGCAAACTAGTTTGGAAATGGAAGACCTCGTTGGCTGGCGCCTACCCTCCTGGCCTCTGCCGCGTCGCAGCCCGGGGGCTCAAGGAGGCTCTCGGACCGGGTGCCCTCCGCCGAGATGGCGAGCCGGCGCTCGACCCGCGCTGGGAGCGCGAGCTGGCAGCGGCGGCGGGCTTCCCGCAGCCGAAGCCGCTCGAGGTCCCCTCGTGTCCACGGCGGTTTACTACTGGCTGGGAGCACGCCGTCGGGCACCAGCTCTGTGGCGACAGCGCGGAGCAGCGTCGCGTCGCCCTCCGAGCGCTGGGCCGCGCGGCTCGCGCAGCAGGCGACCCTGACCAGCGGTGGCCGGCCGCCGCAGGGCCTTCTGCTGCCGGACGGGGTCGACAGTCGTCCCCCGACCGGCGACCGGCGGCGGCGCGCCGCCACCAGACAGGCCGTGGCCAAGACGGTGAAGGTGTCCCCTGGCGAGAAGGGCTACTTGAAGCAGAGGTCGGTGGGCGGGGCCACGCTGCGGCTGTACCAGCGGGAGTACGAGATGCTCGTGGCCTGGTGGAAGGCGCAGCGTCTCTCGACCGTGAGCACCGAGGCTCACGACGAGGCCCTGGAGCGCTACCTCGACAAGCTCTTCTTCGACGGGGAGCCCGCGAGCCGGGCCAACAACGTCGTCCACGCCCTGATGTACCACATCGACGAGGTCTGGGCGAAGACGCCGCACTTCCCCCGGACGCGGCGAGCCCTGCGTGGCTTCCGCAAAGCCTCGCAGACCAGGTCGCGGGATGGGTGCCCGCGGGAGGCAGCGCTGGCCCTTGCCCATTGGATGGGCCGCCAGCGAACGCCGTTCATGGCGAACTCGGCGGCGCTCACCCTCGTGCTCTTCGACGGCTACCTGCGAGCCTCGGAGGGCCTCGGGCTGGGGCGGGACCAGCTCATCCCGCCGCAGGGCGGCCGCGGCGCCCGGAGGTGCTGGGCCGCCATGATCTGCCCGGAAGAGGAAGGGCGCCCTACCAAGAGCGGCGACTTCGACGACACGGTCATCTTTGGCGACACCTCGGAGGCTCGGAGGCCGCTGCTCACCAAGATCCTGCAGGTGCTGCATCGGACGACCGAGGCGGGCGCGCTGGTGTTCGACGGCCTCTCCCTGAGCTCGTACGAGCGGGTCTTCCGGCGCGGGACCCTGGAGCTCGGGCTCGAGAACCTGCGCCTCACCCCGCATTGCCTTCGGCACGGCGGTGCGTCGACAGATGGCCTGGACGACCTCCCGATCGTGCAGATCCAAAAGAGAGGCCGCTGGAAAAGCCTGGCAAGCTGCAAGCGCTACGAGAAAAAGGGCCGCCTCTTGAAGCAGCTCGACCGCCTGAAGGCGGTGCCAGGCGTCGACGGTGAGACTTCTTTGCAGTGGCTCCTCACGCAGTTCCCTCGGATCCTTCAGAACCAGCGCGTGATGAGCTGAGGGCCCAACCCACCCAACCCTGAAGGCCAATCATATGGGGAGCTATGGGAGAGTGGTGGTGCCGGCACCGACGTATTGCTCGGAATGCATGTTGTGCAACCCTTTTGTGATTCGGAGGCTTGTTGAGCCCGGCCTGGAAAATGCTAGCATTGTCGCTCGCCGCTCTCTCATCTCTGTCATTTTCCTGGCGCTCCGCGCTTCACCGCCGCTTAGCATCCTGAACATATTTGTCTTTGACTGTTTTGTTCTGTGGCGGCGAGGCGGTCTCAGGCCAAAGGTCCGAGGGGGATTTTTGGGCGTCTCCGTAGTCGCTCTTGGTCCCCCGCCCTCCCACCCTGTACTATACTCTGGGGAGAGTGGTGGTGCCGGCACCGACGTATTGCTCGGAATGCATGTTGTGCAACCCTTTTGTGATTCGGAGGCTCGTTGAGCCCGGCCTGGAAAATGCTAGCATTGTCGCTCGCCGCTCTCTCATCTCTGTCATTTTCCTGGCGCTCCGCGCTTCACCGCCGCTTAGCATCCTGAACATATGTATGTATATGTATATGTGTATGTATATGTATAAATATACATATATATATATATATATATATATGCATATATATATATATATATATATATATATATTATCCCGGGGAAGAAGGCCCCCTGCACGGGCCCAAGGACCTCGGCAGCGCATGGGAGTGCAGCGCTTCCGGGGCCGCCCCGGGGCAGCCCTACGCAGTCCCGAAACGCGCTCCAAGTGCCCCAGGTCGCCTCCAAGACACCTTCACTACACCCCAGGGGGGCCCCGAGACGCCCCAAGATCGATCCCATATGCCCAAGATGCCCCCGCGACGGCCCCAAAAGGCTTTCCAGACGCCCCAGAAGACGCCCAAGCAGCCTCCAAAGAGGTTCCCCAGATGCAGAAATCGGCGACTTTCCATATGAAAACGTGCATTGCTGGCATATACGAGTTTTCGGCTTCTTCGGCGTCGGCGACGGCACTCGAGGCCGCCAAGACCACCCCCGGACGGCCCAGGAGCCTCCCAAGAACCCCCCCAAAACGCCCCCAGAACACCAAGCCCGTCCACGGGGCGCCCAGGACAGCCCAAGAGAGCCCCACGACGGCCCCAAAAGGCTTTCAAGAAGAGGTTCCCCATATGCAAAAATCGTCGACTTTCCATACAACGCCGAAGTCGGCGATTTTCCATATGAAAACGCGCATGTCTGGCATATACGACTTTTCGGCTTCTTCGGCATCGGCGACGGCCCTCGAGGCCCCCAAGACCGCCCCAGGACGGCCCAGGAGCCTCCCCAGAACCCCCCCAAAACGCCCCCAGAACGCGAAGACCGCCCAAGAGGCGCCCAAGACGGCCCACGAGAGCCCCAAGACGGCCCCAGCAGGCCCCCAAGAGCGCCCCAAAAGGGAGCAAGAGAGCATCAAGACGGGCCAATGCTTCCCAGACGCCCTGGGGCGGCCCAACGGCGACCCCCACCGGACCCAACAGGGCCCCCAGAACAGCCCGCAAGGGCCCGACAGGATTCCGGATGGGCCACCTGCGAAGGCCCAGGCACGCTAAACAAAAGTGCGATTGGTCATGCATCGCCCACGACGGGGCCCAGGTCAGCGCCGGGACAGTCTTCAGAGTTTCCAGAGAGGTCTTCAAATTGCAGTTCAGCGTCCTTTTCCACCGACCCCGTGCCCCCTCAAGAAATGATGCTGCTGCCTCCGCGGCAAACACTCAGTATTCCTTTGCTCACTTCTACGGCATTGCATCCACCGCCAGAGTATGTCCACATCCACCGCTTCGGAGTCGTGCCCTGGAATCTCGAGGAGCAGTGGATGTGGATATCCGCCCGCCCGCGTGAGCGGGCAGATATCCATATCCGCCGCTCCCCGAGTCCTCGCAACACGACCCAGCAGCAGTAGATATGGTCAAATTCTGGCGGCGCATTGCAGGCTGCCATCCATCTCGCGCGTCGAGCCCCCACTCCCTGCACCTTCATATTCATCCGCATGCCTCCCGCTGCTGCTGATAGGCCACGACGCACGTGTGAAAGCTATCCAATATGCAGTGGACTCCAACTTCAGACCTCCGTCCAAGGCACCCACAAACGTGAACGTCAAATATTCTGCAAGCGATGCAGTTCGGCTGGTACACGGCGTGCCCACCCACAGTGGCCCCTGTAGCTCCACCCCTCCGACTGTCGAAAACACAAGTCACGCCTACTTTTTTGCGCACCGCACTATCGCGACCCATGCCACAATACCACGCGTGAGTGGAGTTTGTGTAGTAACGCCCTCGTCGGCTGCCGCCTTCTCGCCACCAACAAATCATCTGGTCCGTGCTTTCCGTGCTCTTCCGGCTCCCTGCCCTGTCGCTTCGCGGTGCTGGGATGTTCTTCCCACGTCCGGCAGAAGTTCAAAAACGCATCAGGGCCGCTTCCGCAATGCGTCAACCATCGGCACAACAACTCTTGCCCCTACAACCCTGGTCGCCAATTCGCCTGCGCATCGCCAGGCTACCATGAGGAACGGAGCGATGCAGCCCACAGTACTTACGTCACATGCCTCACAGGACGTCGACCGTGCACAGTGTGTGTTTCTTGCGCCGAGGAGCTCCCGGAACGCCCGATCTGTGCGCACACTGTGGCGGGGCCAGCCCAGCCGCCAACCCTCCCCCAACCGCTCCAGCGGAGTCTCCGACGGCGCTTGCATCTACACCTTCGCGGTGTTCCACTTCGAAGTGCGGGGCGCCAGCGGTGCAAGAGAGCAGATCCAGAACGGGCGCTCAATGCCCCACGTGCATCGTCGGAGTCTTTCCCGTGCGCCACGGCCACCTGCAGCCTCCGCGCCCCTCGACAACACGGCCAGCATTGCCTCGTCTGCCAACCGCCAGCCCTGCTCCACTTCTGCCGCACGCCCGCGTGCACGAACGTAGTCGAGGCGCCAGAGGACACTTTGTGTTGTCTATGCACGTCGTCTGCTTCCCATGCGCGACGCGTAGGTGCGACGGCCGTTCCACCCCTGGTTCAGCAGGCCTGTGCCGCACATGTGGACTCTCCACACCACACCCACTACCATCCCTCTCCAAACGACCTTACGAGCAAACCGAACGCCCTTGTAGCTCCTCTGGGCGCAGCGGCGTAGCTCAACGGAAGTCGTCCGATGGCCTCTGCATCGCGTGCATTCAGAAACGAAAGCCGTGTAGCAATCGACCCATTGGGTGCGCCCATCGCGTCGGGCCCCTCGGCACCGCGGCGGAATGCAGGCACCGTTGCCTCGCGGGGCCCCCTTGCCAGGGGCCCTGCAAGACTGGCTGCCGCGCCCCCGCCCGCCATGGCGTGCGACGCGCAGTGCTGCACAACAACGGCATGTGCGAACGGTGCCTCAAGCCCGCGTGTTCCTTCCCACTGCGCGACAGGAAGTTGACGAAAGCAATGTACGCCACCGGATACTGCCCCGACCACGTTCACCACGCCGCGGTTGCCACCGCCGCCGCTGGGCCTCGCCATCCTCCGACGTCGGCGTCTTCTGGTGTCCAGCGCGCCCGTCCACGTAGCGATCCGTTGCAAGCAGTCCGCGCGCAGGTGGCGGCAGGCGTCCGCATGTACCTCCGAGCCCGTGACTCGCCGAACTGTACCACGCCGTGGTGTCGCCTCAAGTCCACCCGCGTAGCACTTCCAGCCTCGTCCAGCTGCCCGCCCACCAGCGCGGCGCATCGGAACTGGTTCGCAGAACCCGCGCCTGGAACCTCTCGCGGCGCACGCGCCGGCCACCGCGCCGGCTGGTGGTCGACGGACGAACGGCGCAGCAAACGCGCTCCGAAAGCGTCGCTCTCTCCGACCGGCCAGTTTCAAGGAGCCTGCGCATCGCGCGGGGCTCTGCACTTCTTCGCTGAACGCGCGCGTTGCCCAAAAGCACACAGACAGGACTTCGGCGCGTGCTGCAGGTGCGGGGCCCTGGCTGGCATCCCCCTTCTGCCTCCCGCCCCAGGCGATATGGCGCGGCTCCTCCGTCCGGTCGTGCAACTGCGCCGTTGGGTTCGCGCCCTTCAACGGCGAGAGCACTGTCGCCTGACGGAAGACCCCCGCGGAGGTATCACCTGGCAGAGGTCCGCCGGCGCTCGTACTCCACGGCCGCGCCTTCAGGTCCGTTGGCACCCTGTACCCAGAAGCGACCCGCAGTCCAAAGCACGCCCAAGTCTACATTTACGACCGCGCAGAAGCGACGGCAGCCCGAGCCGAGTCGTTCCCCGACATGAAACGAGACGTTCTCGACCTCCTGCTCAGAATGCTCGCGCGCACTTCCGCCAACCCGTGCCCGTCGCACTTCCGACACATGCACGACGTCGTCCAAGCGTCTAGAGCCGCCCATGGTGCATCTGCCCCAGAACACGCGCTCCGTTTCGCGGGAGGGATGGAAAAAGGATCCGCGCTGATACGGCGCTCCGTCCGCGGCCGAGGTGGCTTGCGCCGCTGTCGGCGAGAGGCCCCCGCCTCCCCGCTACGTCTCTGTGTTTTCACGTCGCGCAGACGGCCCCGACGCAACCCGCGAGTTGTCCTTCTTGTCCGAGCACGTGGGCCCGCTCACGGACCCGCTTATCCACGTCGCTGGCACTGTCGGTTATTCCACAACATTGCGCACTGACGCCGCGGGCGCAACGAAGGCGCGCAAGCTTCACCTCCGGGAGTTCTACGCCTACCGCATCATGCAGCGCGAGCCCGCGGATTCCTCCACCGTGGAACTCCCGCGCGGCGCCGGTCGACTGTTCCAACAGTACGCAGTGGACGCCTACGCCAAAGTAGAAAGCCAGCGTCTACAATGGGTTATCAAGAATCAGGACAAACTGCGCGTCGAAACTCTCCATGGCCTCTTGGGCCACCTCCACGCCGCAGACGCCGCGAAGGAGACCGCGGCACCTCCGCCGCCGCCTCCCCCTTCAGCGCATCACGGCCCCATTCCTCGCGCCACGGTCGGTGCGCCAGTCGCCCTCCCTGCGCCCTTCGGCG